CAGGAGCTGTTAGGGTGCATAGCAAATTCAGATCAGAAATCAAAGAGGTCATGTGACTCTAGCCTAGGGACAGGACCGAGAGTGAATTATTCCTAAATGGAGAAAGAACTAAACGAATCATCCCAGTTCTGCTAGGCTAATGATTTGAACATGAGTCATCCTGTCATGTACAAGTTGGAAGGAAGAGCAGACCGTCCTGTAGAGTAATCTCTGGGTTTTATTGCAGTCCTCTCTCTCTCTCTTTCCTCTTGGTTAGCTTGGTTGGTGATTTGTTGATTTTATCTTTTGAAAAAAATCAACTTTTTCATTTTTAAAGTCATTTATTTGTGCTCTGATCTTCATTATTTCTTTTTTTCTACTAATTTTGTGCTTGATTTGTTTACCTGCTTCCCTAAGCTGCATTATTTATTTGAAATTTTTGTTTTTTGATGTAGGCATTTAATGCTGTAAATTTGCCTTTTAGTATTGCATTTGCTGAATCCTGTAGATCTGGTGGGTTGTATTTTCATTTTCATTTGTTTCAAGAAATTTTTAAATTTCCCTTTGGATTTCTTCACTGACTCCTTAGTATGTTAAGAACATGTTTAATTTCCATGTATTTTTACAATTTCTAAAGTTTCTCATGTTGCTGGCATCTGGTTTTATTCCTTTGTAGTCGGAGAGGACATATGATATGATTTTGATTTATTTTTAATTTGTTGGTTCTAACATATAGTCTGTCCTTAGTGTATTCCACATGCTAGCAGATGAGAGCAATGGCTTCCATGTCTGTTAGATCTGCTGGATTGGAGTAGGCTGCAGTGTTTCTTTGTTGATGCTTTTGGTCTGGATAGTCTGACCATTGATGGAAGTGATGTATCAAAGTTCCCAACTATTGCATTGGAGTCTTCTACTAAGATTTACTTTATGTGATTTAGTGCATGTATATGTATAATTGCTGTTTTTCATGTTGAGTTGATTACTTTGTCATTATATAGTGATTTTTATCTCTTTAGGACCTAAAAGTCCATTTATCTGATATTAAGACAGCTGCTCCTGCTTGTGTCTGACTTCTGTTTGGAACATCTTTCTCACCCCTTCACTTCCAGCCTCATGTCTTTGCTGGCAAAGTGAGTTCCTTGTCAGCAGCCCATCTTGGTTCTTGTTTTTGTATCCATTCAGCCACTCTGTCTCTTTGTTAGGAAATTTGACTTCTTTACTTTCAAGGTTACTATTCATAAGAGCAGATGTCTTCCTTCCTTGTTTTCTGATTTTTTTGGGGGTATATTCTTTGTTCTTTTCGGTCTTATTATTTTTGTGATTTGATTGTTCTCTGCAGTGGTAAAGTTTGATTCTCTCATTTTTGTGTGCTGCACCAGTGAGCAGTGAGGTTTGCTGTCTCCTGTGTTGGTCGTCATATTGGCAGTTTTCATCCTTTTGCTCCCTGCAGTAGGGCTCTTTTAACTGTTTATTGTAGAAATACTGGTGGTGATGAATTCTCTGAGTTTGCTTGTCTTGAGAAGTCGTTAGTCTTAATTTCTAAAAGATAGCTTTGCTGGGTATATTTGTTAGCAGCTTCCCTTTCTCTCCCCTTTTAGAAGTTAGAGCCAGGTGTGGTGGTCCACGCCTGTAATCCCAGCACTCAGGAGGCTGAGTCGGAGGATCACCACGAGTTTGAGGCCAGTTTTTGGGCTACATAGTGAATTTCAAGGCTTGCCTGGAGTACATAGTGAGACCCTGCCTCAAAAAGTCAAAAAAAGAAAAAGAAAAAGAAAAAAAAAAAAAGGAGTTGGAATATGTCATCTCTCCTCACCTGTAATGTTTCTGTTCAGAAATCTGCTGATAGTCTAATGGGGTTCCCTTGTGTGTGATGTGGTGCTTTGTCTTATAGTTTTTAGAATTCTCTACTGTGGATTTTGACAGTTTGGAATGTGCCCTGGAGGCCTTTTAAAACCTGTTCTAGGGGTTCATTGACCCTGGTGGACCTGGATGATCATTTCTTACCCAAATGTTTGGGAAGTTTTATTTAGTAGGTTTTCTAATGCCTTTCCTCCTCCTTTGTGAATGTCCTTCATGCCAGTCTTTGTTCCCTTAATGGTGTCTCATAGGTTCTGTAGGATTTCTTCACCCTCGTATAGTTTTTTTTTTTTTGGTACCAGGGATTGAACTCCAGTCCTTGTGCCTGTGCAGCAGGTGGCAAAACCACTGAGCTAAATCCTCGGCCCTTGTAGTTTTTATTTTATCTGAGTTGTTTCAAGTTGAGAAATTCTTTGTTTAATATAATGTGTTATGGGAGCTCTGGGTTGTATTTATTTTTAGCTGATTGTGTCGCTCAGCCCCAAGTTTTTTTTACACCTGTCTGTTTCTGTTGAATTTCTCATTCCAACCATGAATTGTTTCCCTGTTGTTGAATTTTGTTTGCATATTCTTGTACCTCTGAGCTTTCTTAGGCTTTTACTCTGAATTGGTTTTCCGACACTTCTTAGGTTTCCTTTGCTGTGGAACCTGTGCCTGGGGATTGCCGGGTTCTTTTGGGGTGTCATGTTTCATGTTTCCTTGCCTGCCCAAGCTCCCATGACTAACATTATTGTCTGTACTTCTGGCATAGTGTTGCCTCTTCTCATTTTATGGATCATTGTTTTAGGGAAGGACTTGTTCCTGTAGAAGCATTGCAGGTTGTTGGTTGGACGTGGTGCTTTGCTTTGGTCCTGAGTGGGCTCCTATGTGCAATCTCCTGTGAATTCCTCCACCGTGATGCCCTCCCTGGCACCTGTGGGCATCTCGGTGGAGGATGGGGACCCCACGTGTTGGTGGAGGGAGCTGTTCAGCTCTGCAGTGGGTGGAGGTGGCTGGGTGGGCGACCTCAGGACTCCATGGAAGGGTGTGCTGAGCGCCGATTTCACCTCGGCCAGTGACCGGTCGGGAACATCCTCAGGCCTTGCAGGGGTGGGTGCTCCTGCTGGTGGGGACCCCTGGTGTGTCCCATGTCCTGCAGCAATGGGTGCTGGTGGCAGCACTGGGAGGCTGGGGTCTCGGGGGCATGGGCTGCTGCCCCAGGATGTGCAGTCCTTGGCTCTTCAGGAGGGGATGATATTTCCTGCTGGGGTGGACCTGTGCCCTGTGTGTAGGGCCCTGCTGGCCTTGGGGGCTGGGCTCCCTGTTGTACAGTTGGGTCCCCCTGGGCTCGTGAGGTGCAGGGTTCTGTGCACAGGCAGTGGAATGGTTGGGCCAGGCTCCGTCTCAGAGGTAGCAGGGGCCGTGATGGTGGCTGTTTCCACAGTGGCACCTTGCTCAAGTGAGTAGATCTGGACTTGGGAGCGGAGACAGGGTGCCCTGTGGATGCCAGACCGTTCCCTCCTGGGCTGCTTCGATGACCGGAAGTGCCCGCAGCTGGCTTCCTGGCATCTGTGGCGAAGGTGTCTGCTGGGCTCTCCTTGTCCCTTCCCTGCAGGGTGAGGGCCAGGCGGTGGAGCCAAGCTGGCCTGGCGCTGGTCTATCTCCCTCCAGCCAGGCCTCAGGCTCATAGCTCCCCTCTGTGCGGAGTCCCGGTTCCCGTCCCTCTGAGTACGTCTTCTTGGTTCACTGTCTCAGTCCTCTGGCTTCCTGGAATTCCCCAGGTTCAGGTTCTTTTCCAAACATGAGACCTGTGAGGCCTCCGTGAACAAAGAGCCTGCTTAGCCCCAGGCCACGCTTCAGCGGAGCCGGCCCAGAGCTCCGGGTGCGAGCTTTCCACTTACCTGGTGTGTTTTCTCATCTAAATCACAGCAGTTCCCAGCTTGTCATTTTCATCCTGGCTCAATTCAGTAATAAAGTGGAAACTATTTTATTAGGGTGAAAGCAAATAAAATTCTTGCCTAAGAGCAGGGCGACTTGGAAACACCGCAAGGCAGGGTGAGCAAGTGGAACAGGTTCTGTGGGAGCACAGGGCAGGACCGCTGCTGTGAGGCCTTCGAGGAGCCCTCTGGTGCCCTCTGCACTGCCATGGACTTTGCCACGGGGCTGGGAACGGCAGCCCTGGAGCCGCCCCGCTTCCTGAGATGCAGGGCTCTGTGTCTGAAACCCATTTTGGTTTAAATTCTTGCAGATGCCGAGCTGGTAAGTTTGGTCTGCTTCATCAGTCTATAAAAAAGAAACAGGTCCAGTAACTAACTAGTGAACGTAATTTTACTGGAGATCCTTGTGTTAACGAGGCCATCGCTGGAGGGACGGTGCGGCTTTGCAGTGTGCCTGCATGGAATGGTCAGCCCGGCGTCCCTTGTCCCTTGGCGTGGGGCTTCCACCCCTGGGCGGTGAGCAGCACGAGGTCGAGAGGGCAGGAGAGACTCCGTCCTGGGCAGGACGGTGGAGGCCAGCACGGGGAGAGAGGGCGCCAGTCTCATGCGCCTTCAGGGGCGGAGCAGGGTCGGAGGAAAACATGCGGAGTGGAGACCGGATGGGATTAATGGTGCCCTGGGGGTTTCCACACTTGTCCCCTCACAGAAGCGGAGCTGAACAGTGGTCCCCCACAGCGCCACCTGCACGAGCGCTGAGGAGGCCGGGAGGGGCACCGCAGCACGGGGTGGGGCGCAGGGGGAGGCGGCAGAGGGACAGCCCTGCACAGGCCGGGCACCTGGCCTGGAGACGCTGTCCCCGCTGGGGACAGGAGCGGGAGCGAGTGCCTGCACAGGAGACCGGCCCTGGGCAGAGCCCCACCTCGGTCCTGGTGCTGGGCGGGCTTCTCCAGCCCCAGCCCCAGGCTACGGGGTCCCCACTCACCAGTTGGGGGTCCTTCAAGGTCCGTGGCTCTGCTCGGGGCTAGCGACTTCCTCCATAGAAACTGACTGTTGGTACCGGTGTCAGCTGCTGTGAAGATGACGTCCTGGGTGGGCGTGAAGCCCGCAGGTCGCCGTTCTCCAGGGAAAACCAGGCGGCCGATTTTCCCTTCCCCGCTTGTTACATCAGGGTACCGAGCTCCGAGCTTGCAAGGAACTCGTGTTCACCTTTTAAAGGACGCAAGCCTGAATTCCTTTTTCTTTTTCTAGGGGATGCAGAGAGCGACTAACGTCACGTACCAAGCCCACCACGTGAGCAGGAACAAGCGGGGCCAGGTGGTGGGAACGAGAGGCGGCTTCCGCGGCTGCACCGTGTGGCTGACAGGTACGGGCAGGGCCCGCAGGCCTCCCGGTGCGCGGCCCTGGGCCCTGCACCCAGTACCAGTGCCAGTGAGAATAAACTTAGAGCACAGAGGAGCCGTGCTTGCAGGCGGCGCCGGGCTGTTGGACCCGGCCGCTTGAGTTTGGAGCTCTGTTCTCTTGGGAGCAGGGCTGCTTCATCACGGCACACTCCTGGAAATTCCTCTTCTTTTTAGGGTTGTGTCAAGTAAAGAGGAAACCCAGAATGCATCTTACAATGCCTTCAGTAGGTGCTGCGCTGAGTTAAACTGGCCGCAAAGGTGGCCCCATCCGGCTCCGGGAGGCTGACGGCGTAGCCCCTGCTGAGAGGAGGAGGGGAACGAGGGCTCCTGTGGCTGAGTCCTCAGCTTTGCTTTGGCTCCCATCGGCCCCTGCGTGGGCTTCCCAGGGCCTCTTTCTGGGCTTAGCCACAGTGGGCTGGGAGGAGGGTGGATTGGTCCCAGATTTGGGGGAGAAGCTGAAAAATGCTGCATCCTTTCACATCCAGAAAGTGTATTTGGATTCTGCTGCATCCTGCCGGATTGCCCACTGCCATTGTGGACCAGGTACCCCCTCCAGCGGGTGGGGCAGGCACTGTTTTCCAGCCTCTGTGTTAACACTGGTTACGGCCGGTCCTAACAGGTTGGAGCCAATTGTCAGAAAACATTTTTTTTTTGGTACTGGGGATCAAAGTCAGGACCTTGTGCTTTCCAAGGCAGGCGGTGGAACCACTGAGCCAAATCCCCGGCCCTAGAAAACATTTTTAAATTTTAAAATTACATGATGCAGGCAGGGCTGTTTGTTTTTCTGCGAAAGAAGACATAGAAAGCTGGGTGTGGCAGTGCACGCCTGCAGCCCCAGCACTCTTGAGAGGCGGAGGCAGGAGGATGGCATGTTTGAGTGCAGCCAGGGTAACTCAGTGACCCTGAGTAGTGGGAGCCTGTGTTGTGAAATAAGGCCTGGGATGTAGCTCAGTGTGAAGGCCCTGGGTTCAATCCTCAGGAGCACACACAAAAAGAGACATAGAAGACCCTCATTTTTTCCAGTCTCCTCATTCTTAATTTGGTTGAGATTGTTAAATTGTTGTTTTGTATTGCCCAGGGTTGTAGCACTTATATTCTGTTCTAACATCTCGCATTTCTGTAATTGTTCGTGTTTTAGTTGTATAAGTACATTGACTGAATATTCACTATCAGTTCTTTTGCTATGGTATGTTCACTCATGAGCCTTTTATTTTAATCAGGTCTTAATTGTTTGTTTGATTGATGGATTGATTTAGTAGTGCTGGGGATTGAACCGAGGGCCTTGTGCAGGATAGGCAAGCACTGTGCCACGCAGCTACATGGCTGGCCTTGAACTTGCAGTCCTCCTGCCTCAGCCTCCTGAGTGGCTGGGTTGGATGCATGCCTGACCGGGAGCTTTCCATTTTCCATCTGATGCCCTTTCCTGTTTCCTTTCAGAAGTTTCACTTTCTCCGAGAGTCCTCACCTGCAGTTGATTCTTGTGTGTTGTGTGGAGGAGTCCACCTGGATGTGTGGCTCATGCATTGGTCCCCCTATTGCTCAGGGGACCCTTTTTTGGGGACCCCTAGTGCCAGCCCTGTCCTGTGTCGGGTTTCCACTCAGATCTGTTCCACTGCGTCCCAGGGGCAGTGCCTCACATCCTTTGCCCTTGTCCCTCACCCGCAGTGTCAGGTTTGTGTTTTCATTACGACCTCGTTCTGGTGTTATTATGTACATTTTGTAATAGATGGAACCAATTTCCCGGAAGCCTACAGGGATTTAGTTCGGGACTGCGTTTACCTGAGGTTAATTTGGGGGGTGGGTCTGTCGACATTGGACACTGTTCTGGATGTGGTGCTTTCTCTGTTTCCCCGTAATGACTGTAGGTACTGTTTGTGTGCTTCTGGGGCCTTGCTTTGTGGCCCAGGTTGTCAGTGTTCAGGTGCCTCTCCCTTCCTGGCAGGAGGCTGGCAGGCTCTCCGTCCCCGCCAGTAGGCTGTGCTCTTGTGGATTCTGCCTTGGGCCCAGGAGCCCCGATGAGAAGAGCGGTCTGCTGTATCTGGCTCTGTTCCCCTGCCTGCATTGGAGCATGTGTGGAACCTTTCCGTATGTGCTGTGAGAATGTGGTCAGAACTCACAAGAAGTGGGGTCTTCTATGACTGGGTCCCCCTGGAATTTTATTTTTCAAACAGCGTCTCGTTTAGTTGCCCCACAGTCTCACATGCATCAGGGTGGGCAGCAGTGCGCTGCTGCCGGGTGCTGGCGCCTTCTGTGCTAAGGGTAACGCCTGGTGGAGGAGGGTAGGAGAAGAGTGCCTTTAGGGTTAATTGTAGTATGAATTGGATCCTGGCTGTTCTATCCTGGCAGCAGTGGTTCTGTAACGTGGGGTAACTTGATAAAATGTCATTTACTTTGTCCTTTCTTTTTCTTCCCTTGTCTGGAATATTTTGGGCATTAAACTTCTTTTTTAATTTGGCATGCAGTTTAGAGTACAGACATCTCCCCTTTCATGACCTGCTTGTTTAGCAACTGTTAGGACGTAAGTCCGAGGTGCACTGTTCGGGCTTATGACCTGCTGCTTGGGCTTAATGACCCCTCTTTTTTTTGTACAATTCTGTTTATTGAGCCTCAGTGTCTTCTTTTTTGAGACAGGGTCTCGCTACGTAGCCCAGGCTGGCCTTGAATTCACTATGTGGCCCAGGCTGGCCTGGAACTTGTGAACTTGTGGTGATCCTCCTGCCTCAGCCTCCTGAGTGCTGGGATTACAGGCATGTGCCACCACGCCTGGCTCCGTGTCTTTTTTGTACAGTACACCTTGCTTACTGTGGTTTTTGCTAAGTGTGCTGTATAGTGCAGTACTATAGTTCTCTGTTGTTCTATGTTATGGTACTGCATGTAAGAATGATGCAGATAAAAACCAAGTCATCATGTGTTCTGAGGATTGGAGCACACACACTATTCAGCTCCTCATTTCCTGACCCACTCTGTCCTTAGGTGAGGGCTCCTGTAGCGTCACAGGAAGGCAAGGTGAATGCAGCTCCCACCACGTCTGCTGCTCACCAGTGAGGTCCAGGGCTCCTCGGGGGTGGATGCAGACACCAAAGAGGAGCTGCGGAACAAGCGCTTCTCGGGTGGGCGAGGCCGAGGAGGGAGGTGTCCCCTGTGACAGCTGCCACCCAGCTGCGGTGAGCCTTGGCCCTGTGCCACCCTCACCGCTCTCACTCCGTTCCAGGCCTGTCAGGTGCGGGGAAGACCACGGTGAGCATGGCCTTGGAGGAGCACCTGGTCTGCCATGGCATCCCGTGCTACACCCTGGACGGTGACAACATCCGCCAGGGGCTCAACAAGAACCTGGGCTTCAGTCCCGAGGACCGGGAGGAGAATGTGCGGCGCATCGCTGAGGTGGCCAAGCTGTTCGCCGACGCGGGCTTGGTCTGCATCACTAGCTTCATCTCGCCCTACACGCAGGTATGGTGGCCGGCTCTGCTGGGGTGCGGGGGACCCAGACATCAGACCTGGGCGGCCTCAGGCCTGGGAGGGAGCCGGGTCCAAGCCAGATGACCCAGGGCGTCTCCATGCTGTGAGGTTTCCGAGTCCAGCTCCGGGGAAACCTGCTCCTAAACGACTCCAGGTATAGCAGAGTGGAACCCAAGCCAGGGCCCAGTTACTTCAAGCTTGACTCTTTAGTTCAGTAAATCCATATATCCTGAGTACTTAGCAGCTGTCAGGTACCAAGGGAAATCCGTGCTTCTTCTGTTTTTAATTTTTGTGTTTTGAGACAGGGCTCACTGTGTAGCCCAGGCTGGCCTCAAACTCACAGTGATCCTCCTGCCTCAGCCTCCCGAGTGCTGGGATTACAGGGGTGCGCACCACGCCCCTCATGCAGGGCCCTATCCAGACTTCTTAACGTGCATCCTTCCATGAGGACTGTGCCCACAGTTGTTTGGTCTCAGCTCTCTCCAGAGTCTTCTGCTATCTTAGCAGCACTACTGTGTCAGCTTTTGTATTTCTCTGTAAAGCTCATGGGGCTTCTTACCCGGGATTTTGTTTCTCCCGTCCTGGATGGGCTCTTCCTCTTCCTCCTGCCTCTCCCCCCAGGTTGGTTGACTTCTGTGCACCCCCCCTTGCCCCACATCCTTGTGGGCCACCCTCGTTGGTGTCCCCACTCCTGCACCTTAAGACTCGGTGTCACCACAGCCCCGTACCTGGGCGCTGCTCATGGTAGCGGTGGCGATAACAAATTTATAGTAACAGCTCACACTAGCAGTCCCTGCGGGCCACGAGTGTTGTAAAGCGCTCTCCTGTGTCAGCTCAGCTTGCAGTGAGGAAGGCAGGCGGGAGGAGAGTGGGGGTCACAGCCCGAGGTCACACACTGTGGGGCTGGCCGAGGGTCTGTGCCCCGCCTGGCCCGGCCTGTGCTCTGCACCCCTCCCTGCCGCCTCCAGCCCAGCTCCCGAGTGCTGAGCTTTGGCTTAGTCTTCGTGACCTGGATGCAGCCCAGGCCTCACGCTGCAGTAGAGGTTTGGTGTCCTTAGGGTCCAGAGCAGTCATTTCTGCTCTGCTCTTCATAATTTCCTCCCTCGTGCAAGCTCTGGGCTTGACTTGCTCTTCTTTTCCTAGAACGTTGAGGTTCAGCACCAGGTTGTTTGAGTCCGTTCTGTGTTTCTGATATGAGTGTTCACCACTACACATTTTCCTTCTAGGGTTGCTTTCATTGCATCCCATAAGTTCCCATGTGTTGTAATGGGATTATCGTTTAATTGTACAAACTGTCTAATTTCTTTTTAAATTTCATCTGGGATCCATTGGTTGTTCAGTAGGGTATTATTTATTTTCCATGTGTTTATGAAGTTCTTGTGGTTTCTTTTGCTGTTGATTTCCAATTCATTGCACTGCGGTCTGTTAATACACACGGGATAGTTTTAATTCCTTTGCATTTACTTATGCATGTTCTGTGAGATAGTATGTGGAATATTTTGGAGAACATCTCATGTATAGCTGAGAAGAATGTGTATTCTGATGTTGTGGGGTAGAACACTCTGTAGACATCTACTAAGTCCATTTGTTCAAAAGTTTGGTTCAGTTCTGATATTTCTTTGTTGATTTTTTTGTCTAGTTGATCTATTTGTGACAGTGGGTATTGAAGTCTCCCAATACAATTATATCAGTGGTTATTTAATTTTTTATGTCTGTTAATGTTTGTTTTATATAGTTGGGTATATTGGTATTTGGTGCATGTTTATGATTGTTATCTCTTCCTCCTGGATTGGTCCCTTTACAAGGATGTAGTGGCCTTCTTTGTCTCTTCTGATCAGTCTTGGCTTGAAATCCACTTTGTCTGCAAATAGAATAGCTACTCCTGCTTTTTTCTGGGTACCTGTCACGTGGAGCACTGTTTTGCTCTTTCTTTGACTTTCAGTCTATGAATTTCTGTGTGAGTTAAATGTGTTTCTTGTGTGCAGCATATTGTTGGATCTTGCTTCTTGATCCATTCTGCCAGTCTGTTTCTTTTGATTGGTGAATTGAGACCATTAACATTGATGGTTATAACTGATGTGTATTGACTTATCCCTGTCATGTTATTTTCCTGTTGTTGGCTCTCCTCTTTCCTCCTCTGTTTAGTTTCTTGCCTTAAATGATAGATTCATTCTGTTGGGGTTTATGGAGTTGTAATCCTTGTTATCTCTTTCTAGAATGTCCTTCAGAACATTTTGGAGTGCTGGTTTTGTGTTCTTGAATTTCCTCAGGTGCTCTCTGTCATGGAAGTCTTATTTCTCCATTCATTTTGAAAGATAGCTTTGTGGGGTACATTAATCTGGGTTGGAGGTTGTTTTCTTTTAAGGCTTGAAATACTTCACTCCAGGCTCTTCTTGACTTGAGGGTTTGTGTTGAGAAGTCTGCTATGATTCTGATGGGCTTTCCTTTATAGGTGATTTGTTTCTTTTCTCTGACAGCTTTAATATTCTGTTCTTGTGTTGAATCTCTGGACTCTTGCCTGTTAGGTGCCTTGGTATAGATATTTTTTGATCATGGGGCTTGGTGTCCTGAGTGATGTCTTATCCCTTAGCAACCCTGGCTATCAAAGAATAAGCAAGTTAGGATAGTGGTTAAGGGCAGGCGCTGTGGCATGGACACAAGTGGGCTGCAATCTCAGCTCCACCAAAGCTCTGGTGTCACCTGAATGACAGACAGGGCCCCTCTGAGGATTGGATGGTATATCACACACACAGAGCCCTCAGCTCATCCTGACATGTAAGAAGTATTCAATCATGTCATAAGTCACGCTAGTACGATGCTAGGATTGAAACACATCTTTTTTTTTAATGAAACGAGCAAAAAGCAATGGTGAAGTTTGAGAATGTAAAAGTGAAGAGTGGGAGAGAAACACTCTGCAGAGTGAGCTTGGGCCGGGTAAATAGAAAAGGAGGGAGAGCAAAGAAAAAAGTACAAGTTGTCCTGGAAAGCTATGCCAGCTGAAACACAGCTTGATGGGTACCGACATTTTTTAAACAAAATTTGAGCTGTGCATTTTATCTATAGTATCAGATTGAATGTTCATCAGTTGGGTTAATTGACCTAGGGCGATGACTGGCTACTTTTATTTTCCTGAAAAGGGGATCAGTGTCAGTGTATTGGTTTAAAGTGTATCAAATGAAATACTCAGGCAGAATGAGAGTTAGAGACCCTGCAGGCCTCCCGGGTATGCACAGTTCCCAAGGAAACATAGTAACAGTGATGTCCTTGTACCTGCTGGGCAACTCTGTAACTCCAGGAAGATGGTAAAGGCAGGAGCCTGTTTGAGAGCTGCCAGCTGGGACCTGGGTATCTCAGTAGCAGGAGCTGATCTGCCTTTTTACTCTTTAGTGAGGACGTCTTTGTTGACCTCATGTGCGAGCAGTACCAGCCAGGTTTGGGCTCTGTTTAGAGCGTGGCAAGACCTGATAATATTTGTACTAAACCAAGCACCGTCCGTTCTGTGTGTTTTTCTGTCCAGTCGAGATCATCTTCACTCATACATAGATTTTGAGTGCTTTTCTGATACCACTGAACCGGGCATCTTGCTAGTTCTGGTCCTTGTGCTGTGTGTGGCTCCTGTCTCCCAAGGCCGGGGCTGAGGAGAGTGTGTGGCAGGCGCATGGAGGACGCACAGAGCTGCTGCGCGGCTGAGCAGGGTGGGTGAGGCGGGCTGTGGGGCGACGCAAGGAGAGGCTGCGGGGAGGTGTGCAGCATCTGGGCTGTGTGGGGCGGGGTGCTGCACTGCTCCATACCCCACTGGAGTGATGGCTGGAGACAGATGCAGGGTGCTGCCATGGGTGCGCGTGTCCGTGACACCCCAGGAGCCTGGCACGAGGAGGCTCTGGAGGTGGGGTCCAGTTTGGCAGTGGCGCCAGCTCTCTTGGGGAGAAGGGAGTGAGCTCGGGTGGCGGCGTGGGAGCAGGAGAGATGGGACAGATTTGGGGCTCTAGAGCTTGAGGCTCGGCCTGAGGGGAAGGCTTCCTGGAGAAGAAGCGCCTGCCCCGACCCGAGGGCTGGGGTGTGACACGGAGGGCAGGGTGAGGATGAGCAGGCGTGTGGGTTTCCTCTCGTCACAGCTGTGTGTGTGCATGGCCTCACGTGGTGTTTTTTGAGTTCTTCTATATCAACCCTGGAACCGGGCATCTTGGTTCTTAAAATAAGCCTGGTACTCTAGGTACGAATTGTTAGTAGAGCAGCGAGTGCGAGTCCAGCACCTCAGCCTAATGAGGCAGGGTCTCTGGAGAGCTTCACAGGAGGGCCAGAGTTGCAGCCTCTCGTACTGGGGCCGGGAGAATGGCTTGGGGCAGCTGGGCACCGATTAAAGGCTGTTGATGTTGTCAGGACAGAGTGCTGAGGATACCCTGGGGAGGAAGGGCAGAGGCCAACTTGGTGTCGTGTGGAGAAGTAAAGTCTGCAGGACGTGTGACCCCATGAGTGTCTGGAACGGGGAGGGGCAGAGCAACTCCTCGGATCTGGGAGTGGTGTCGCCACCTTTCCTTGGCCAGTGTACTTGACGAGAAATGCAGGCTTGGAGGAAAGGGCTTGGATTCCATTGTGGACATTAGCTCGAGACACCTGCGGGCCATGAGAGGCTGGGAGAGTGTGTTTTAATTCAGGAAGGGAAAGGCTCAAGCTTAGGTGTTGTAGCTCACATTGTGAGGGCAGCTGGCACAGTGCTCTGGGATGGTAGAGTGCGGATTGGGCTGGGGCAGGTGGTGGGGACATAGGAGGAGCCAGAGGAGGGATGATCGGGGGTCACCTTACAGGTATCCCTGAGGTAGCAGTGTGACAGACGGCAAGAGTCTCAGCATTTCATACACTGGAAAGTGCATGTGGCAAAGGGAAACTTCCTGTATGATTTGTATCTTAGGCATTTTCCTCATTGCTAGGACACAGCACCTCATATGCACAAGTCAATGGAGGAGAGGTTTATTTAGCTCACAGTTTGGAGAGGTTTCAGTCCATAGTCGGCTGGCTCCAAGGCAGGGTGGCACGGCAGAGGGTAACACAGGAGAAACGGTCCATGGCAGGGTAGGCAGGAAGTGGAAAGATCAAGGGATGAGGAGGGTATATGCCCTGCAGGCCACCCCCCAGTGACTCATGACCCACCTCCTTCAACCAGGCTTCACCTCCCAACATCACTTTCAGCTGTAAACTCATCAGTGGAGTAATCCACTATGAGTGTCAGCCCCCACGAGCCATTCGTCTCCCCAGAGCCCCACTGTGAGTGCAGGAGGCTTTGGGGGCACATCTGGATATAAACGTTGCACTTTGTTAGTTCATTTGTTTTTGATGGATGAGATTGGCTTGTCCTCGTTGCCGAGGGAAGAAGCCATTGGGGAGGGTGAGGCCGAAGACCTAGTGGGAAAATGGGCTGGTGGGGCCCTGTGTGGAGGAGGTGCAGTGGCTGGAGAGTGTGGTTGGGGACGTAGGCACATTTGCTGACGGAGAGCTGACAGGCGCTTCCTGGTTGGGCTTTTCTTTTTTTCTTTTTTTTGGTACCCGGGATCGAACTTGGGTCCTTGTGCTTGCGCAGCAGGCGGCAAAACCACTGAGCTAAATCCCCGGCCCTGGGCTTTTCTTTTTAAAATAGGAAATGTCGCCACCTGTGGAGAGTGGCCGGTAGGTGGGGTTAGTCAGAGGGACAGGAGGGAGGCAGACCCTGAGCTTCCGGCCCTGCACTGTGGTGTCCCCGCTATGTGGGCTGTGCTTGAGGACAGCAAGATGGGCTGCACCCTCTGGGCTTTGAGTGAGGGCAGAAAGCGGGAAGGATTGGCTGGAAAGGACAAGGTGCCCTGCCGCACTGCACTGCATGAGGAGAACGCAGAAGTGATGAAGCCCCGGATCGGGAGCCGTGCAGGACAGTGAAGCTGTGGGTGAGGGGAGGCGCGGGTCTGGGCCTGTCTGGCCGGGGCTGCAGAGTACGGGGCCGGGTGCTGCTTTGTGAGGTCGCTTTCATGCTGGCGGAGATGGAGCGGGGGTCGGAGGCCCAGCTGGACTTGGGCTCGCGATTCTGTAGATTTAGGTGCAAGCTTGTGCCATCTGTGGGTCCCTGTAACTGCAGGGTCCCCGGTTTGGACAACTGTGTACCTTTTAAAGTTACCCTGAAGAAAGAACGTCAGCTAACGGTGTGTTGGATTTATTTGTTTCAGCCTCCAGTTTATATTTTTAAGATATAAATGATGTTGTGCCTGACATGCTTCCCTCTAACGCAGGTGAAAAGCACTTCCTGTCCGTGTGGTTGCTTTCCTCCGAGCATGCGTGTGTCTTCTCTCTTTCTTTTCAAGGACCGTAACAATGCCCGGCAGATCCACGAGGGCGCCAGTCTGCCGTTTTTCGAAGTGTTTGTGGACGCGCCTCTGCACGTGTGCGAACAGAGGGACGTCAAAGGGCTCTACAAGAAGGCTCGAGCCGGGGAGATCAAAGGCAAGTGGCGCTGTCTTCCCAGCCTCTGCCCCGTTTGCTGCCTGTCTCAGGACCGGGCTTCTTCCCCGAGGGTTGTGCTGGCTCGGGCTCCTCTCCCTGGGCTTCGCAGCAGCTGGCCTGGGGCACAGAGCCTGCAGGGCCTGAGACAGAGCTGCGCTGCCAGGGTGGTGACGTCTGCCTGGCTCGCGGGTGGCTGGCGTGTGGTCACAGCTGTCACCACTTTGCTCTGAGAGCAGGAAGCCGCAGAGCTGCGGGGAAAATGCCTGGATTCCGAGCGTCTGGATGGCCAGGCACAGCTGCTCGTCCTCGCAGCACTTGGAAGGGTCCGGCCTCTTCGGGCAGGGCTGCCAGTTAGATCGGAGTGGACACCACCCGCTCCGTCAGCACACACGCTTTGCTTGGAGGGGAACCCTGGGCCTGTGCTGTTGCGGCCCTTGCCGGCGGTCCTGCTGGGGGACGCGTCGCTGTGCTGCACAGACTGCTCTGGTAGAGAAGCAGCTTCCCCAGGCTTCCTCCTGCTGAGCATGCAGCCTGCGCTTCCCCGGGCCCAAAGCAGTGACTGAACAGGCAGACCTGGCTGGGCGGGGGCCGGGGGAGGCCAGGTTCCCCTCCACCAGAACGGGGGTGCTGCACACGGCTGGCAGTGTAAACCAGTGTGGGGAGTGCGCCATCCTCCTCCCCTGCCGGGCTCCTCACCCCTGCACCGGACGACGGGGTCTGAGGCCAGCGGTGGCCTGTTACTCATCGTGACAGCAGCTCTGCTGCCTCAGTGTTAATGGAAGCCGAGGACAGGGCCACGTCAGGAAGCTAGCAGCCAGCTAGTGTGGTTTAGAGGTCAGCGGTTTCCTCAGGTCGCTTTTCTTTGCCTTCCCAGCGGGGCTTGGGTAGCAGGGTCCATTTGGCATTCAGTTTCTGCCCGAACAGGGAGAGCGCAAGGGGTGGGAAAGTGCTGTTGCTCTGGCTCTGCTGTTCTCAGACCCAGGGCGCATGGCGCTGGAGGCAGATTCTGCCTGTGTGTTGACCCCAGCTCCGCTGCGACCCCGACGGCCTGTGGTAGCTCCAGGTGGGGCCGCACCCAGCATCCTTTTCACCCGTGAAGCTGGCACTTTCTTAGCTGGGAGAGAACAGGACAGGGTGGGGTCATCCCCACGGGGTAGGGCACGAGGTTGGTCCTGACCAGCCTTCCTGCCTCTTGGCGACACGGAAGAGCCCGTACTTCGGCTGTGGCCGGGTTTGCTGCTCTGGCAGGGGTGCACTGGAGGGGGAGCCTGCCGTGCCCGCTGGGTGGGCTGCTGCAGCGGGGACAGTAGGCCTCTCGTGTCTCCTAGATGAGCACAGTGCGGCCGGCCGGGAGCCTGCCGTGCGAGCTGGAGGAGGACAAGGAGGGGACGGGTGTTTGGGGCCTCGGGCGGGGATGAAGCAGAGCAAATCCAAGGCGTCCTTGCGTCCTGTGCAGTTTGTGCCCGGGCCGGGGCTGCGCACTGTTGGTTTCTTTTTACTTTCCCCGTGTGGCTACGTTCAGTGTAGACTTTGATAGGCCGTTCCTTAGGTTAATCTGCGAGTGTGTGTGCGTGCGTGCGCATGGGTGTATTCTCACGCACATTGGTTTATTTCAGCTTTGTTGCGATGCTGGAGTTCCTGACTATAGAGTTGTTTAGGGTTTTGAAAACTCCTGTGGAAAGGCGCTGAGCAAGCTCCCTCAGTCAGCTTCAGAGCTGTGATGCTGAGCGTCACGGGACGGGTGACACTGGGGACCTCAGCCTTCACAGGCTCGCTGACAGCCTGTTGCTCCCCATAGCTGTGTCACGGCCCCGAGACCAGTGTCCCCTGCGGGTCTTCACCATCCTCACCTGTGGGTAATCAGCGGGGCACAGTTCCCAGGTCTCTGTGGTGTCGAGCTGGGCTTCTGTCCAGGCTTCTCCGGCTTTCCTGCTGGCTGGGGTCACCGTGGGCCTGGGTCAGGTTGTCCTGCAGAGCGGGCACCGTGGGTGCGGCCCTGGCGATCCAGGCTATGCGCATATTTGAGAATCAGAGCGGAAGCGTTAGCCTCCTGGCCAAAAGTTTTTTTTTTTCATCTGTTTTAATTTGTGACCCATCACTAACTGGGAATACTGGCAATGTAGAAATTTTTCTTGCATTCAGGATTTAGGTGATACTTAGAATTATGAAACAAAAAAAAAGAATGGGCTGTGGGCTGATGAATCAGTGTGTTGAATAAAGTGTCTTTCAACAAATCCACACTAAAGAAAGTGAAAGACAAAAAGTGAGCAGAGGCTGGCAGGGACGTAACTCATTCCCTGAGGAGCAGCGGCTCCGGGCCCCTTTTTGGGTCTCTGGTGTCTTAGGGATCCCGACTGCGTGAACCCTGAGAAGCCTCCGGGTCTGCTCAGAGGGGAAAGGAGGGGGCCAGCGTCATCCCGTCCCGAGCACGCGTCGCGCCCAGAGGGGACATGGTCAATCTCCGTGTCCCCTGGGACTGCGTGCCAGGGACAGGCTGCTCTGATCCCGTCCCTGCTGTCTGCTGCCTCTTAAAGGGTTCACGGGGATCGACGCGGAGTACGAGAAGCCAGAAGCCCCCGAGCTGGTGCTGAAGACGGACGCCTGTGACGTGAATGACTGCGTGCAGCAGGTGGTGGAGCTGCTGCAGGAGCGGGTGAGGCAGCAGGAAGAAGGGTGGGAGGGCGCGGGGGCGTTGAGGTTGTGTGTGTGTGTGCGCGTGTGTGTGTGATGGGTGTGTGTGTGCGCGTGCACGTGTGTGTGTGTGATGGGTGTTCACAGGCCCCAGTCAGGGTAAACCTCAGAGAGCTTGGGTGTCAGGCGCCATTCGTCAGTAATTTCACCACATAGATACCTTCGAGCCGCAGTCCAGCCAGGGTTGTTGGGCCCTTAGCCCGTGGTCTGAGTTGCCCAGTTGGGGCACACAGGAAGCATTGAGGGAATGAATGCCTGAGTTTCCCCGCGACGCCTGGACATGTCTGGGTGGCTGGGCTTTAGGGGCCCCCCGGGGAGGGGCGACACCGGGTCGGAGGTGCGCTCCTGCAGTCCCTGGGCAGTGGACGCATGGGAGGGCTTCTCAGGGTCCAGGTCAGGTGGCGGGCAGGGGAGGTGTGGTCTGCTCAGCATTGGGCTCCCCTGCCCCTCCCGCGCGGCTCAGCCCTCCCCCTGGATCCGTAGCTGCCCGTCCCCTTGTGTCACTGCTGCCCGGGTGCTGGCGGTGACCCGGTGTCGTCCCTTGGTCCGTCCTGACTGTGGGCTGTGGAGCTGGAGCCCTTTTTATTTTTTATTTTGAGACAGGGTCTGGCTAAGTCACTAACTTGCCCAGACTCCGCGTGGCTGTCCTCCTGCCTCAGCCTCCCAGAGTGCTGGGGCTTCACAGTTCTTGCCGTGCACCTCTGTCCACTGTGGGCAGAGGTGAGAGGGCGGATGAGGAGTCAGCACCCTGTCATGAGGACCTGTGCGTAGCGTCGGGGACAGTGGCGTGGGGCGCAGAGCAGAGATGGGAGACGCTCGGCAGGGCCTGGCGGTGACGTGAGGACCGGGAGGCCCTCGGGCCGCTTACCGGGTGGGAGACGAGGTTCGCCCTGCAGCGCGTGCACCTTTGCTCCCAGACTGTACCTCTCGGCACTCGAGGTGCGGGCCCAGAAGCTGAGCCTTGGCTTCTTTCAAGGCAGCATTTGAAAAGCTCGGTTGAGAACCGTTCACTTCCCCTGACCGCTTCCCCGTCAGCCCAACAGAAATGTGCAGAACTTCGGTCTCTGCCTCAGCAGCGCGCCGAAGGATCACATGCTGCCAGAGCCCTGCAGTGACAGCCGCTCAACGCATCGTGACGAGCACTCATGAGCAGTCTGCGTGCAGCATGCTTCCTCTGTCAGTTTTCCTGGGAGAAGCAGGAAAGGGTGTTTTCGGAACGAGTGTGGGGCCTCTGCTGGAATCCCAGGTCCAGCATTGGTCAGCTTATTGTACGGCTTCACAGGAAAGACCCTCGCCTCCCTGGCTTAGTGGAGGGAGTCGAATGGCTGGACGCAGCGGCCAGTTCTCGGGGCTGGACAGGTGTGGTTAGCGAGGTCGCGCCCCTCTCCCGGTGCGCAGCTGTGGGTGGACACTCCGGAGCCCCGTGGGCCCGCGGTGGGTGGGAGCGCGTCTGTCCGCCGCTGCGGCGATGAGCTGAGCCCCGGCTGCATTTCAGGCACTCGGGAAGAACTGCTCTTCCCGCCACGCCGGGGCAAAGCCGAAGCGTCCTGTAATACTTGGTGTGTTTTCAAGTGCTGCTTGTCACGACTGTTCCAGCTGCCACCTGTTTGCAGTTGCCTGCTGTTGAGTGGATAGATGCCCTCCGGCACAGTGCAGGACAAGATGCTATGCCTGAGGAGGTGTGGGGGATTTATCTGCTTGAGTAAGCAGACCAGCTGTCAGGAGGAACATCGAAGGAAACAATCCAGGGCCTCTTCTACGCTGCTCTGTTTTGTTTTTTGTTCTTGGCAGTAGTGGGGATTCGACCCAGGCAGCAATGAGCGACATGCCCAGCACGCTTTCTTTTATTTTGAAGTAGAGCTCCAGTAGGATGCCCGGACTGGCCCTAACTTATGGTTTTCCCTCCTCAGCCTCCCGAGTAGCTGGGGTTACGGGCATGCACGACTGCACCCCGCCATTCTGTTCCTGTGAACACTTTGACAGGATCTCCCTCATTCATGTGCCCCATGGAGAGCTCTGGGTTGGTGAATTGAACATGGAATTGTGCTCTTGTCGTTACAAAGGACATTGTACCTGTGGACGCCTCTTACGAAGTGAAAGAGCTCTATGTGCCAGAAAACAAACTGCATTTGGCAAAAACAGACGCGGAGTCGTTGCCCGCTCTGCAGATTACTAAGGTGAGCCCTGGGCTTCAGCCCGCGCCTGCCGTGCATGAGGCTCTCACCGGCTGGTCTGTGAGCCACGGCTCCACAGCGGGTTGGAGCTGGCCTGGAAGGGTCCCATGGGCCTCTCAGGTGCGCCCTATTTCCAGGGCGTGGAGGGGTTTAGCCTGTGGAACAGTAATCCCGCATCGCCATGGCTTTCCTTAACTTCTAGGCAGAATACTTATTTATTTGGAATTATTCAAGAAAGGTTTTGTCAGGATTTTATCTTTTTTTTTTTTTTTTTTTTTCTGGGGATCAAACTGTGGTCCTTGCATTTGCGAAGCAGGGGGATTTTAGCATGAGAGTAAGATCAGATTCTAAAACATTAAGGAATACTAGTTCATGATGATTACAATGATTTTTTTCTGTTTAATCATGTTTCC